AAAAAAAAAAAAAAAAAAAAAAATTGGATGGCAAAAAGAAAAAAAATGAAATTTGCATAAGGCTAAATCTCTCCATTTCAAACATTTTGGAAAGAATTATTTGGCTCACGGGGAAAATAAAATTTTCTAGAGGTATGCAAAAATGCAAATATGGTTATAAAATTTTTATTAAAAAAATAGTAGAAACAGTTATTTTTAACAGTTTTAATAAATATAAAGGTATTTCGTCTGCCTTATAAAAATTATGTTAATTACTAGTTTAGAAACTAGTTTACTGTATTTATAAATTGAACGATTTGAACTATTTTAACGTATAAATATATATTAACAAAACAAAAGTCGCAAGTAAAATATTCGTCGCCCTTTTCAACACTTGTACATACCACACGTGCCCACACATATTGAAACCATTGTTCTTTGGATTTGGAATGGATCAAAATACTCTGTGAAGACTATAGGATACAAATATTACTTATCCGATTGGATTCCTGAGTGTCAAAACATTAAAAAAACAATCACTTGAATCGCGAAACGTTGAAACTCTTGGAGCCGAAATTTTTAACGCTATCTGTACGAAACTTGTGAAATAAGATCGTGGGTATTATTGGCCACAGTTCGAAGCACTTATTTTAGAAAAACAATGGTACCTGGCTTTACCCTATTTTCTCCTAGTTGAGTCCAGGTATTTTCAACTAAATTTTCATCAGAATGATCTGTGGATTTAAATAAGAAATATATGTACATAGATCAAGTTGGAACTTTTATTCGATATCATTCGCCTCTGGATACTTTCGTGTCGACTTTGAAAGAGCGATGTATTTAACAAATTCGAATACGCTAGATACGATAGATGAGGTGATACGAGTCGAGCCCATTGTTTCATTCGGATGAAACAAAAAATTGAAATGAACCTTCCTAGGATAATGCGTTGGATATTTTATCGGCTGGAACGACGATCGTTTTTCAAACGAGGCGGTGATTGCGTTAAACGGTTCTTTCTTTTTTTTTTTTTGTTGGTTTCTGTTTGGCTCGGCTATTGCGACACTCTTTTTTTTTTTTTTTTTTTACAAAATATCGGCGTAATTGTCGCTAAATGTTCACGTACACTTGGCGGAAATTACGGCCGGAAGGGCGCGAAATTTTTAAATCGAGCCGACCGAATCGAGGTGGAACGAGGTCACGTGTGAAACTTTAACCTTCGTTGGACTTTATTAGATCGGTTGAATTAACGGGCCAGGTGGGAAGCGTGGGAAGAGGGGTGAGGGGGCGGCCTGGTGGTAAAAGGCACACGCGTATATTTCACATTGGCCGTTATCGTGGAAACGACCGGCGCTTGCACACGATCTTTAAAAGGGACCGTGGCAGACGGCTTGGCCAGCCGGTGGACACGCCCGCCAGCTATCCCGAACGGAACGAAATTGAACGCAACGAATTCTCGCATGTGTCGATACGGAACAGCCGGGCTGTTTGTTTCCTATTGGAGAAATCGGGATTATCGCGCTGTGAACGGA